GTCTTCACAATTCACATCAAAACAATTTTTTTTTCTAAATTGTATATTTTGCCAAACCATAAAACAAAATTTTGGCAAGAAAATTGGAAAAAATCTTAAAAAATCCACCGTGAATGTTTTTTTGTGTGTCCTTTGTTTCCTAGTGCCGTCAGATTGGCGGCCAATTAGAAACACAAAAATCCGACGCTCTTCAAAAATCGACAAAAAAAAAAATGACTAGTTTAGAGATTTTTTTTCCATCTAAAAAGCTCAGTTTCAGTTCGGTAATGGCGGAGATTTGCTATTTTGGGAGTCTAGTCCATTACAAGACTCCATCTCCTTTGTCCCTTCATTCTCTCTTCAGCACCAAACCCAATCACTTCAATTCATCGTTCTCCTCTTCTCTCATGGCTGTCTCCGAATCCCGCTCCACCCTCGAACCACCTTCTCTCCTCGTCTTCTCAGGTGAACCCATTTTCTTCTTCTTCCTCGCTTTGTGATGTTTCGTAAAGTCGTGATTTTTTTTGCTAAATTATTGCAAAAAATCGTCAATTTTGGGTTAGATCTTGACCAAAAATGTCTGGAGGGCCTCTTCAATGTTGAATTTTTCTGTCTCTGATCCAATCAGCCTCGTTGAGACCAGACATGTTGATTATGTTCGTTGCAAACGCTATCTGAAGCTTCTTTCATTGGCTTATAGATTAGACTAGTGCCATACATTGAATTGGTTTGCATTTAGTTAGTCTTTTTGCTCTGAAAGAAACTATTATAGATAGCTAATGACGTTATATCTGATTACATTTGTTGCGATGAAGGCGGCACTGGATTTAATGGTGTGGTGGAAGAGTTGAAGAAGTTAACAACCCGAGTCGCTCATGTTTTACCTGTCTCTGATGATGGAGGAAGTACAGCTGAGATTGTTAGAGTTCTCGGTAAGTTCTTGGACCGACCACCAACCATGGTACAAGACCCACATTAGATGTTTTAGAAAGAATCCTAAACTCACTGTTTTAAGAACGATAGGTGGGCCAGCGGTTGGTGACATACGTTCCAGGTGTTTAAGGTTGTCTGATGAAAGTACTTCAGAGGCACTTGCTGTTAGGCGTTTGCTCGGCCATCGCTTACCTTTAGATACATCTAAGGCCAAGCAAGATTGGTAATTTATAAAATGGCTCTGTTTTCTTTGTGCGCATAGCGTGGTCTACTATCTAAACTACACATTTCACTCTGTACACACAGAAGTTAGTTAAGAGAGGCCTAGAAAACTGGTAATTGGTATAATCAGTAAAGACTCGCAGACTCTACGTGCACAAAATTTTCATTGGTCAAGTGTATCCCCTTTGTAGTTAGTCTGCTTTTTCCAATAAAGTTTCTCAAGTGTTCCTCATATTCTTGTTTTCTTGGGTAGGTTCTTAGTATGGTGGAGGGTAATGTGTAATATATAGTGTGCTGGCTTAAAACTTTGACAGGTACGATATTGTGGAAGGTAATCATTCTCTGTGGGATGGTGTATCAAGACCCTACAGAGAAACAATCCGAGCATTCTTAGTTTACTTTCAGAATGAGGTATAATGTTAACAGATACAGAGAAACATGTTTTGTTGGTTTCGTGTTTTATCAGTTCCATCTTCTTGTTTTTCGTTAGATTTTTCCTTTTTTTTCTTTCTATTCCGAAACTTCGTACTTGACATGTATTCTATGCCACAGATTCTTAGACGACCTAATGAGATATTTTGCTTCAGCAATGGAAGGTATTGAAGATTTAGTTCCTGTTTGTATTATTTTGTTTGATTGTTAGGAACTCACTATCAATTGTTTACTTTTTGTAGCATTGGGAACTTCTTCTTTGCCGGAGCAAGGATATTTTTCCAGTCTTTAGATGCTGCGATATTTTTGTTTTCACGTGTTTCAGAGATTCCTTGTGACAGTTTGGTCCTCCCAGTGATATCAACCAATGATAGGCTTACACTAGGATGTGAATTACAGGTTTGAAGCTTGATCTCTATTTGAATTCCAGCAGGTAGTTTCTGTAGTCCCATATTTGTCCACAAATATGGCAGTTGACGGTATATAGTGTCAGTATCGCAATAAAGCATAACTTTAAGGGCGGGGAAAAGTATCATTTTATATACATAAATCGTAGCTTCACTGGCTGAATTTTTAAACATCAATTGACAGCAAGATTCAGGTGGCAAATCTGATTGCAAACTTACTGTTCGTCACATTAATTTGTAGGATGGGACTATAATACGCGGACAGAACGAAATCTCTCACCCTAACAATGGGACAATGCAGACTGTTGATAAGGTGTTTTCTTAAAACCTTTTACGTTGAATTTCTATAATGACAACGAGAACCAAGTTTACCATATAGTTATATCATAAAAAAACTCCGGGAGTTTTTTCCTTACAATTGTCTTTTTATACTTCTAGTAGAGACATTGCTCAACTTCCACGCTTCCATCAAAGTTAAAGAGAGTATTTTACATGTCAAGTGAAGGCAATAATCTACTTCATGAGGTTCACAACTCTTACTTTTATGCATAGAAAAAAAATTCTCCTTTTATTTAATGTTATATATCTAACGGTTCTGCTTCCCTTGAAGAAACTCTTATCTTTTTGGTTCGCTACTTCGTTTCTTTGTTTTCCGCGGTATAGTTGACATTGCAAATGTATTGTGTTATGATCATTTAAATAGGTCTTCCCACCAGTTAACCCAACAGTCCTGGAGCAGTTGAGAAGTGTGGACTGTATCGTTTACGCTATGGGATCCCTTTTCACTTCCATTTGCCCGTCACTGGTAAAAATCTGCAATGGAGGATTAGTATATTTGTGCAAACTGTTATAGTCGTGTTTTCGTCTGTTCATCAGGTTCTGCTTGGTGTTGGGGAGATTATCTCTTCCAGGTCATGTCGTAAGGTACGGCTGAAGCTCATTCTAGAATACTAGCTTTGGTGGAAACATTCTGATTTCTTCTCTTGGTTTCAGGTACTTCTGTTGAACGGTACCCAAGACCGAGAAACAAGTGGCTTTACGGCTTCCTGCTTTGTGATTGCTATTGCCGACGCTCTCAACAGAACTCATGGAGATGCCAATATTCGGCTCAAGAATCCTGTGAGTGGTTGAAGCACATCTGCTAATCCTACACTCTCTTTGACGTCTTCTTTACCAAACGTGATTTGAGATCTAAAAACATCGATTTTGTTTGCAGCCTGGATATTACATCAACACTCTCTTGGTTCCGAAAGATGGAGGAATAACGGTAGATCTTAAACAATTGTCTGAACAAGGAATCAATGATGTTGTTAGTATCTCTCTCTCTCACTTGTTATCCAAGTATATGTGACAAAAAAACTCACTGTTGCATCCGCGTTATTGCAGAGAGTCGTTGAGAGTGTTAGCGATCCAAAACATGGTATCTTGTTCAACCCGAGCTCACTGATAAACACACTAGCTGGTTTGATGGAGTAAATTAGTGAATTCTTTAGGCCAGAGCCAGTTTCTTCTTGTACGTATGAGATGATAATACGCAACTGAAAGTTTAAGAAAGACTTTTGGCCCCATTTATGGTTTTACTCTTTTATGTGATTCTTTGATGGATTTTTATATAAAAAAAAGTCTTATTCACTCGGAATTGGATAAATTCTTATTTTGAATAAACTTTGCAGCCGCTAAGGAATACAAAAAAAAAAAAAAATTGATCGCTTCAATTTTAGTGTATCATCCAAAATTCGTTTTATCAAAGCAAATACCAACAAACAAATGGAGTAGGAGTTATCAACCCGAAATTTGGAAAACAAAAATTGGACGTTTAACAAATTAAAATAGTGTTTTTAGATGCTCGAGGACTTAGACACCGGATGTCTCCGTTGCAATCAGAGATGAAAATTTTATTTTGGACAATGTCATATATGTTGGAGAAATGGTTCAATTGCCATAATTTTGAGACAGGCATCATTTTGTATTCCGAGGAGTGGCCTGCAAAAGAAAATTACAGGAAGTTGCACTGCCGTT